AATGTTCCTGCTACGAGCTTCACCCTAAGCTCGACCATTTCTCTAAGTCCAGCTCCAGCTCTCGGACAGGCTACCCATATTACAACCCAGGATTCCAAATGGCCTGTTATCCCAGGTGTAATGGGAGCAAAATAAACACAGCAGAAAAAGTTTAGACTTATATTATCCTTCACCAATTTAGAACAGCAATATGTACACTATGTACAATGATAAGTATAGTGCACTCCACGGTAAGCAAGGCAGAAATAGAAGCCACAAGATAGCAGACCGTGCTTCAACCAGCTCTAGAATGGGAATGACAAGGGCAGACAGGAGAGTGGTACCCACATAACCTCTGCGATTGCCAAAACCATCTTCTTATTGGCTGGAACCTGGTCACTAGTTGAACGACGGGGCCCCATCATCAACTCTTAGCAACCTGGTTCGCTGGTTGGGGGAGATAGCCTGTAAATGAGGGTGTGTACATGCGCCGAATAAAGGTTACGTACTCTTTGCATGCCACAGACTGTATCTGAGATGAGAGTATCGAGAGCTAGGGATCACATATGGGATGAAGGATACAGATGAGCCACATGTTTCTCAGGAACTCATTTTTTAGTCTCAGAACAATGGAAATGCAGTACTATGTTAATAATAATAGTATCTTCATTTCTACAAGTATATGTTCAAGGTATACAGGCCTAGCTAATATCAGTGACACACTGCTACATATGTAGAAAGCCCCTTGTTATGCAGAGCAGATCAGGCAAATTAGGTCAGTTTTGTCCAAGGATGCAACCTAGACTAATCATCTAACACCCAGGTACCCATTTTATTGATGGGTAAACAGGGACAGCAAGTGTCTTATGGAGACACATCCTAATGTTTTCCAGCTGTACCCAGTGGATTGATCCCCGAACCTCAGTGTGTGAGCAGTGTGCTAGCGATCGAGCTAAAGTACACCTACGCTGTATGAGACACTATACTGTACACTGTTTTAATATCTGTTATGATCTAGCCCTGGAGGTCAGTAATCAGTTAGTCCTGTCAATAGTAGTTAAAAGGGAATAATGCTAGAAAGTCTATTACAGTGGGTAAATTATTCTTAAGTAAAACCTTGCTAACTAGCAAGCAGCTTAGTTTCAACCAGTCAACTCTTGTACTGTATCAAATCTATTGAGAGGCTTAGCACTTTTTGTGTGGTGTATGATAGCAGTATTCATCAAATTTATTATTAAAGAAATTAATAGGAAAATTGAGTTTATTTGTATTTCAAGAAAGGTTTTGTCCTGTTAAGGAATATTTAAGGCATGTGATAGGGGTGTCTTGCAGTTCTTGATTAACAGAGAGTTCCACGAGTCTGGGCCTGGGTGAGAGTGCAGGGGCATGCTGTCATTGGCTTTTTCAAAGTCTATCGATGTTCTGGTTATGTCAGAAATTTTGGAGATACATTGGCAAGGTTTTAAGTCTCGTTCGTGGAGAATTCATTCAGATTTGACGACCTTCAGTCTGATTAATGACTCACTAATTGACTAATGACTCATATTGAGGCTTCAATATTTCACTCATTTCATTGCTATCATAATGTAAGTTCCATCTTGTTTGAGTTAGGGCCAAAATATGAAACTGGAAATGGGATACTACCGGCACACAGTATCCCTGCTCATGTAGCACAGAAAAATTATGTTAAGTAAGAACATCCAGATAAAAAAAATATACATGGTACATATACAAATATAGCTGGGCAATATAAAATACTCAAGCTAAAAATCAGAGAAAAATCCAGATATAGGCTGAATTGAAACCCAACTACAGGTATATACAGCCTCTCCTCACTGAACAACGGAGTTCCGTTCATAAGACCACTTAGGTAAGTGAACTCGTCGCTAAGCAAGGAGCATACTATAATGGTAGTGGGTTTGTGTCAACCATCTTTGATATTGTTTTAATGTCACCTTTGCACCATTTATAACATTTTTAGTATATTTTCAAATGTTTATACAGTAGTGTACTGTATATTGTAATAAACGGAATAGAGGAAATCAGCTCTAATTATTTAGGTATGCATACTGGTCAGAGAGCCCATCGTTTACTGAGTCATCAGTAAACAAGTACTTCGCTGAGTGAGGAGAGGCTGTATTGTATACTGTACTAAATGAGATGGCTGTTTGGGAATAATATTGAGCATAGTATGAAGAAGGGATTGAGCTAGCAAAATGGAAGGTGAAATAGAAATGGAACGGAACTTAAAATAGAAAACACAGAGTAGTGATAATAACTGAAATTTAAAATTATCATGAGAAACTGTTGTTATATAAAGGCTTAACAACACATTGAAGAAAATAATTGGTAAGAATAGTGAGTGACTACTAAATGAACTATTGTATTACAGGAAAGTGATATTAACATTACTGTTTTGGTAGATTACATCTTAAAAGGAAATGAACTGTAGGAAACATTCCTCACTGTGATAAATGGATTTTTTTTGTGTGCTATCACATTTTTTAATTAGCAGCTCAGCTCAGTGAGGGAAATATGTTGTTGTTACTAGACCTGATATTCACTAGAAAGGCAAAAGAAATCCTCAAATAATTTTATAAATCCTTTTCCATGGATACATATTCTTTCCACCTTCCTGTATAGACTTTCTCAGTATATATACATGTATACAGGTCTCTCTGCAGTGATAGACCTTTATACACAAATAACCCGAACATAGAAGAGAGGAGCTTACGACGACGTTTCGGTCCGACTTCGACCATTTACAAAGTCACAGTGCGACTTTGTAAATGGTCCAAGTCGGACCGAAATTTCGTTGTAAGCTCCTCTTCTGTGTGCAGGTTATTTGTGTATCGTTCCAGTCACGGTATTGTGCCTTTTTTTTTTTATTTATAGACCTTTATAGTTTGTATCTTTCATTGGATCTTTGCATCATCTACAAACATGTTCATTATTCATGTGGTTATTTTATTTCTTCTAGCAAGTTATTTACATAAATTAAAAACATGTCAGAATATGTAGTGTTATGAAGATAGATATTACTCATATTGGAATAAAATGTTGTATTGAAGGCTGCTTTATATCACTGGGGAAGTAATGATTGGTTCAGGTGAGAGAGGATTGAGCATATTAGTTATATGCATCTTATTTGTTATCACATAGTATATATAATTATTATAACCTTGTACCACTAAGTTATAGAAAGAATGGTATTATACTACAAGGTTACACCAAACACAATAAAAATACCATATAAATTAAATGACAGTTTTTGGTTCCATCTTGCTTTTGTTCAGTGTAACAATACACAAATAACCCACACATAGGAGAGAGGAGCTTATGACAACGTTTCGGTCCAACTTGGACCATTTACAAAGTCACACTAACAAAAAGGGAGAGAAGGAGGGAGTATAGTGGTCCAAGTCGGACCGAAACGTCATCGTAAGCTCCTCTTCTATGTGTGGGTTGTTTGTGTATTGTTCCAGTCACGGTATTGTGCCTTTGTTTTGTTATTCAGTGTAACTTTTGAGTTTCTGCTTCACTCCTTTTATTTGTGAATAAATTTCTGGCTTATTTGAATCTCTGGTAAGTATCTTGGTTGGTACACTTCCTATATTGTTTCAAAGTCTGTTCTTTCTTTTATCATGTCTCTTCAGTACCTTCTGTTTAACCACCCTTCAAGGCAGGTTTCTTGATGTTACTGAGGGGCTCTTGATCTAAGCAACTGGACCTGTTGTTCCCTTTCTTGGATCAAACCTGACAAACTTCCATTTCCTAGGTTCTATATGATCTGTGTGGGTTTAGTTCTTCCCATAAAAATAATGATAATTCTCTTAAACTCTGTTTTCATTCATGTTATTCTGTTTAATTGGAATGAGCTGTTTGATTTTGTCATGTGTTACAGACCTCAGTATAATATTATACTCCATTTTGTTTATTAGAAATACTCTTTCTTTCATTAAATTGTTGTTTGTGTACCTGCATTTTTTATTTTCCTTCTCAGAGCTTATTTTTTATATAATATTGCCCATGTGTTCTTAAATGGTGGGTTGAGTGCATAATCATTGAGTCTGTCTGTATTTTGATTTTGATTTTTATTTCCACCAAAATTTCCACATTGTGTCAGTTTTAGTAGTTGGTATTTCTTTGATCATTACATTCTATTTTTTCCTTATCTCAACACTGAATGTTACTATAGTTACAACATATTTTTCTAATGTTCCTCACTTGTAGTCTCTCCTATTACTTCATTTATGTTTACATATAAAATACATATAAAATATAACTACTGGTTTTGTTTGTACTTGCATACACAAAACAACATTTCTTGCAATAATTTATTTGTTTGGATTTTTTTTGTATTTTAATTTAATTTTAAATAAATAAAATATATTTATTATTCAGGAAATATACAGGATTCATTGCCATGTTTGCCCTGGGTTCCTATCCTGTCTATTTTCCAAGATGTTTACATTAGTGTTATTATGATTGTCTTTAATCGTGTGTAGAGTATTATAAAAACAAAATTTTTAATAAATTTAGGTAACTGATATTTAGTTAATTAAAATATTAGTGTATAGTGAATAAAATTTGAAGACCCAAATGGGTTTGCAGTTTTTATAAATACAGCATAATGATTAAAAGCTAAAACTTTGAGGTGTTAAAATTAAGAGAGCTCAGAGGTGAAGTTTATAAGTAGTTTGACACCATAATTGCTCTTGTATTATTTATCTTTATGAGTTGTGTGTATTATTTAGAAGTATTGGTGCATTCATTGTTTTATTTCTTGAAATAGTCAACTTTTTTTTTTTCAGTGACCTGGCTGTATTCCACTGAGGCAGGCTGATCTAAAAAGAAAAACCAAAGTCAACTTTAATTGTTTACCTAAATTAAATTTATTCAGCAGTCCTTTAACATACTATAAGGCTTTTGATGCAGACAAATAATTTACATCTCTACATTCACTAATGTTCAAGATGTGGACAATAAAGAATTCTTTTTAAGTATCATTTATCTTCCAGAGTACGACTTCAAATTCCTACGACATTGACAACATAGTGATTCCATACAGTATGGCAGCCTCAACTCGTGTAGAGAAACTTGAGTACAAGGAGATCCCCACTCCGAAGTGGAGAATAGTTCCCTTAATCCCTAATAATGTGCATAGTGCAACAAGTGGTACTAGTCAGGAAGATGAGGTGAGTTTGTACAGTGTGTGCACAAGAAGTGGTACTAGTTGGGAAGATGAGGTGTGTGTATGTGTGTACGTGTCTAAGAAGTACAGTGGACCCCCGGTTAACGATATTTTTTCACTCCAGAAGTATGTTCAGGTGCCAGTACTGACCGAATTTGTTCCCATAAGAAATATTGTGAAGTAGATTAGTCCATTTCAGACCCCCAAACATACACGTACAAACGCACTTACATAAATACACTTACATAATTGGTCGCATTCGGAGGTAATCGTTATGCGGGGGTCCACTGTAATACAGGTCAAGAAGATGAAGTGAGTTTGTACTTAGTGTGTAAGAAGTGGCATAGAGTAGTGAAACTCTTGAAACTCTTCCAAGGTAAGGTATTGAAGATGCAGTGAGTTCCATGTACAGTTCAAATCTCAAATTCATGAAGGTTAGATTCTTAGAAGTCCTCATGAATTCAGAATTCAAGAATACCACTAAATTTTTTTTTCTGCAACATGTTGCCCATCTCCCACCAAGGCAGGATGACACAGAAAGAGACACATTCACCATCATTCAACACTTTCACCATCATTCACACGTAATATAGTCTTTGCAGAGGTGCCCAGATACGACAATTCGGATGTCACCCCAAACAGCCAATATCACAAACCCAACCTTTGAAGTACTGGCATTGTACTTACCACCACTAGGACTCGAGTCTGGCTAACTGGTTTCCCTGGATCCCTTCACAAAATATTACCCTTCTTGCACTCCATTCATCACCATTCATCTCCATTCATCTCCATTCACTCCTTTCTAACACGCTAACATTTGCCTGCTGTATGTCCAAGCCCCTTGCACATAAAACCTCTTTCACCCCCTCTCTCCATCCTATCCTAGGATGACCCCTACCCCTCCTCCTCTCCATTACAGATTTATGCACCCTCCAAGTCAAACTATTTTAGTCCATCCTCTCTGACCAAACCATCTCAACAACCCCTCCTTAGTCCTCCGAATAATACTCTTAGTAACTCCACACCTCCTAATTTTGATACTATGAATTCACCGCATATTGGCCTTAGACACATCATCTCTACTGCCTCCAGCCTCCTTGCTGCAGCATTTAAAACCCATGCTTCACTCCCACATGAGAGTGTTGATGCCACTATACTCTCGTACATTCCCTTCTTTGCCCTGATGGATAATATTCTTTGTCTCCACAGATACCTCAATGCACCACCACCTTTTTTCCTTCAATTCTGTGGTTAACCTCATCTTTCATAAACCCATCCACTGACAGTCTCCCAAATATCTGAAAACATTTACTTTTCCATACTCCCTCCTCCAGTGTGATATCCATTTTTTTTTTACTTAGCTCTTGGTACCTTCATCATCTTACTCTTATCTGTGTTCACTTTCAACTTTCTTCCTTTATGCACTCTCCCAAACTCGTCCACTAAGCTTTGCAGCTTCTCTTTAGAATCTCCCAGAAGCACAGTATCATCAGCAAATATTACTAAATTTTGTCTGTCATAAAAAAAATTATATTTGGGCTATTTTATGGTTTGAATTTTTTTTCCCCCTCAGTGTTGTTCTCTCCTCAAGGCAGGGTGACTCAAAGAAGAAAACACATTTACCATTATTCATTCAGTTGATCCCTCCATAAGTATGCTAGCATCATTAATTTTAACTTCTCTCTTACCAGTTGACACCATTATCCTTGTATGCCATCTACCTCTTACTCTTACTATAGCTACAGCAAAAATATTTGGCTTATCATTTCTCTAAAAAAAATATGCACATTCTGAAGTCTATTCATCATTGTTTTATCCACCAAATACATAACTTTAGCAAGTGGCTGTCATTGTGCATTTGATCATATCTTGTATACTTATTTTTTATTTGTTAAAAAAATTTGTATCAATTTTTGCAAACTGTCTTAATTTCTCATGGAAAAAATTATTGCAGATTATTGATAATGATTGAGTTGTGTGGCAGGGATTATATAGAGAGAATGAATCTGAACATAATTTAACATACTGTGGTTGTAGAATAAGATAAATAAGAGGCAAGAATATGGTAGTAATAATAGTACATTATAGTAGTGGACAAGTATGGTGAAAATGGTATAGAATACCTATAAGTTGATGAATAAGATACCTGTGCAACACTTGGGACATCTTCCACAATTTTATTGCTTAAGTACTAGTTATGAGTGAGAAGGGTTGAATTCCAGAGGGACTTGCCTGGCATGGGCCTGTAAGCTGTAGTGCTTCTCAGTTCTTGCCTTCTTGCTTCTGCTACTGAATCCCGTTCCCTGCAATGTCTTCGAGATCTTCTGCCTCACCTTCAACAGTATTTAAGACTCCATTCTCGTGCCTCAGCTTTTTATCATTTCAGACCATGGAGCTGAACTCTTGTCCAGGCTGAGGGACTGACCACCTCAAATGCTATTCCTCCAAGGTTGATGGACTGATTACATCATCATTACTTTGCTACTACACCTGCTGTCTCTGGATTTGACTGAAGAAGCCTACTGTGTAGGCAAAATGTTTCAACAATAAAGATACCCAACTGTTGCATGTGTCTTACTCATCAACTAGGTGGACAAGTGTTGTACATCTAGCTCATCATAGACCATGATGTAGGATTGTGATGCTGCCTTTGTGTCACTCTGCTGAAAGTACTTGTCTTCTTAATATTTTCTTAACTTGAGTCTCATACACATGACATCACACGTCCTAAGACAGCAACACTTTTATCATCTGAGGTTTGCTAGATGTATAGATGCTTTTGCCTGGCTGTCTGCATCACTTGAAGGATTGTTTCTCAGATATGTTTGAGCCATACTAGGTAGGTATCTACCTCGACCCAGTGATTGTTAAGGGTACCATCACCAGCTTGGGTCATCTTGAATTATGCTTCTGGTTGATAATCTTATCAATCAGGGCATTGGCATTTGTGACAATCTAACATAGGCTGAAAAAAGAACAGTTTGAAAACTTTTTGTCTCATGAAGCCAGGGATCTTTTAGCAAGTGAAGTTATTACAATCACTTATAAGCTATCCCTTAGTATTCCTAATGTATTAATTCTCTGAATTTGGAATAATTGTATCATCTTGGTTACTTTCTTTTCTCTTTAAAGTGTCATTCAGTGTGCAGATTTGGAAACATTTCTTCTGGTAGCTTCAAGGTGTAAATTCTGATATATTTTTCTCTCATGCATTCCAGGAAGTATATACAGTTTGGAGTGTAGTTGAGAAATCTCTATTTTAAGTTACAATTGTAATATACCCATGGACTGGTTCTTTGTCTGCTCACTGAAACAACTTCCTTACAAAAACAGGAAACAAAGTAGGTAGTGCTAAATAACATTAAAGTACGGAAGTGGATACCTGCCCTCTTGTTACCATTTTCATTTCCAGCATCACTTCTCTTTCTTTCCCCAAGAAATCTAAAAATTTTGTAGTACACTGAGAGGCACTAACTCAATAAGTATAGAGTCTAAGGCATTTCAGTGCTCTTTAAATGGAAGGGAACTTACTAACAGTGAATATATTAAGCAGAAAACATTACTAGATTCTGCAAAATATTCCTCATGAGATGGACTGAGGTACTTTTGTGGGACTGTATGTTACAATCAACAGCAAGCTGACTGACCAGTCAGCCAACAGGCTTGGTCTGAGATCAGACAGAAGGCATGATATTCCCAGAGCCATCACTAAGTAGATGGATAGATATCTAGTTTTAAATGTTGTTTATTTGATGAAAGAATTAGCTGATCCTTGTTGTACCATGCTTTTTATATTATTTTTAAAACCAAAGGTAAGAAGACACCAGATTTAATTTTTTTTTTAGGAAACCCTTCACACTTGTAGTTTGAATACTTTCAGGAAGAAGATGTGAGTGAAGAAGCGACAACTGCTCGACACAATCGTAGTGAAGAGTTGGAACGTAAAAAGTTCCTTCAGTACCTCCATATGCATGTAACGTCTAGGTCTTCCCGTTCACGAAGAACAGACTCCTCAGGAACCAATACACCCGGTGAGGATCTTAATTATGGTATAGTATATGACGGGATAATTAGCTCTTACCTTGTTAATGTCTGGCTGTTCAATGCCAGTTACTGGCCCAACCTTGTAGTACTTAACTTGATAAAGTGAACGGTGCACACATTATGTACAGTGCCACTGTTCCCCGCCAAATTATTTTTAATGTAGCTAATCAAGTTTAGAATTGCATAATCTTAAATGGAGTGCTGTGCGAGGGAAGCCCATTTAAATGGGTGGTTATGGGTTATTTTATACATATTAAAAGGAATACTTATATTGTAAAAGCAACTCATGTGAGCTAATATAATTTGGTAGTCGCTGAATTACATCACACTAATTTGACTATATACAGTGGTCCCTTGCTTTTCGTAGTTCCCGGCAATCGTAAATTTCGCCAATCATAGGGTTATTTTCGTATAAACATGGACTCGCTTTTCGTAAGTTGACTCGCGAGTCGTAATTCGTCCTGGACACGTACCCACGGCGTGAGCCGTGGCGGCAGCCAGTCTGGCATTGTTTACCAGTGAGCGAAGTTCCCCTCACGTGCTCCAGCGAAATGTCATAATATTCCATTTATTTTAGTGCTTGCAAGTACTAAATAAGCTACCATGGCTCCAAAGAAAGCTCCTAGTGCCAAGCCTGTGGTAAAGAAGGTGAGAAATACGATTGAATTTAAGAAAACCATCATTGAACAATATGAAAGTGGTACAAGTGTGGCCAAACTGTCCAGGATGTATAAGAAATCCTACACAACCTTATGTTCCATAGTGGCCAACAAAAATGAAATCAAGGATGCTGTTGTTGCAAAGGGGGTAACTATGCTGACAAAAATGAGATCACCAGTACTTGAAGAGGTTGAGAAGTTATTATTGGTGTGGATAAATGAGAAACAATTAGCAGGAGATACTCTTATGACTTCGATTATTTGTGAAAAGGCTAGGCAGTTGCATGAAGATTTGGTAAAGAAATTGCCTGCAAATAGTGGTGATGTGAGTGAATCTAAGGTCAGCAAAGGCTGGTTTGAGAGATTTAAGAACCGTACTGGCATACACAGTGTGGTAAGGCATGGTGAGGCTGCCAGTTCGGACCACAAGGTGGCTGAAAAATATGTGCATGAATTCCAGGAGTACATAGAGGCTGAAGGACTGAAACCTGAACAAGTGTTCAATTGTGACGAAACAGGCCTCTTTTGGAAGAAAATGCCAAAGAGGACCTTCATTACACAAGAGGAAAAGGCAATGCCAGGACACAAGCCTATGAAAGACAGGCTGACACTAATGTTCTGTGCTAATGCTAGTGGGGATTTCAAAGTGAAGCCATTACTAGTGTACCATTCTGAAAATCCCAGAGTGTTCAGGAAAAACAATGTTATGAAGAGTAAATTGTGTGTGTTTTGGAAATCTAATAGTAAGGCATGGGTCACGAGGGAAATTTTCGTCGAGTGGTTCAATGAAGTGTTTGGCCCTAGTGTGAAGGAGTATCTCCTGGAAAAGAAATTGGATCTCAAGTGCCTGCTAGTAATGGACAATGCACCTGCTCATCCTCCAAACTTGGATGACCTAATTTTCGAGGAGTTTGGGTTCATCACAGTAAAGTTCTTGCCCCCGAATACCAGTCCTCTCCTCCAGCCCATGGACCAGCAGGTCATTGCAAACTTTAAAAAACTCTACACAAAAGAAGTGTTTCACAGGTGCTTGACTGTGACCACAGACACTCACTTGACCCTAAGGGAATTTTGAAGAGAACACTTCAGCATCCTCCATTGCATAACCCTTATAGGTATGGCTTGGGAGGGAGTGACTACCAGGACTTTGAACTCTGCCTGGAGAAAATTGTGGCCAGATTGTGTCGACAAGAGGGATTTTGAAGGGTTTGGGACTGACCCTGATGAGCCTATGTCTGTTGTAAAATCAATTGTGGCACTGGGGAGTTCCATGGTGGTTGGATGTGAGTTTGGAGGATGTGGAAGAATTGGTGGAAGACCACAACGAAGAGCTCACCACTGAGGAGCTGCAAGAGCTTCAGCAGGAAGAGCAACATATCACAGCTCAGAATCTTGCTGCAGAGGAGGAGGAAGAGAGATGGAAGAAGGTGCCTTCTTCAGAAATTAAAGAGATTTTTACTATGTGGGGTAAGATGGAAAGCTTTATGGAGAAACATCACCCTAACAAGGTTGTTGCAAGCCATATTGGCAACATGTACAGTGACAAAGTCTTGGGCCATTTTAGGGAAGTGTTAAAGAGACGCCAGAAACAGAGCTCTCTCCACAGTTATTTTGTGAGACAGGACTCCATTGACTCTCAAGGTGGTCCTAGTGGCATTAAGAAACAGAGAAGACAAGCAACCCCAGAAAAGCAATTGGTACCTGAGGTGTTGCTGGAAGGGGATTCCCCTTCCAAACTGTAAACAATCCACTCTCTCCTCCTCCTCCAGTCTCCCATACACTAAGAAGAATCTCCAATAAAGGTAAGTGTTATGCTGTTAATGTTTCATTCATCATTTCCCATTGTATTGTTTATGTACTACATGTATATTTCATGTAAAAAGTTTTTTGTTTTAATACTTCTGAGTGTCAGGAACGGATTAATTGTATTTACATTATTTCTTATGGGGAAAATTGATTCGTAAATCATAAATTTAGTTTATAGTAACGGCTCCAGGAACGGATTAATTACGAAAAATGAGGGACCACTGTACTAAGATTCTTATTTGTAATACTTATGGAAAATATTGTTTCTTTCAGACCACCCATTATCCCCGCGAGCTCCTGATCCAGCAAGTGACACAATCTCTCCTATGGCCACACCCCCCACCACACCTCTAGCTCCTTCAGAGGACTCTAATCAATCATCGTATCTCACAAACATTTCTAGTATATCTAATTCCTGCAGTAATGCTATCTCGGTTGTACCTAGTTCTAACTTTGCCACACTCTCCTCACAGCCTGGGCTGGTTAATAGTTCATCACAACTCTCGCTCTTTCCTGCCACATCCCACACATTATCCAATCAGCTCTTTATTCAAAATTCTCAGCTTGGAAGTTCTATGTGCAACCAAGTTCCAAGTTCAGCTTCATTATCCACTCAATCCTCTCTCTGTACATCTGCTTCTGCCTCAACACTCTCGTCACTTCTTCCTGGGAGTCGGCGTAATCGTACTCTCAGCAGCAGCAGCAACAGTAACAGAACTCGTGGTTTTCTTGGGACCGAGGAAAGTTTAGCAGAGAAGTTGGAGGTAAGTTTGGTTTGTGATCCATTATCAAGTGACTCATCCCATGGAGAAATCAGGTGTAATAGTAAATTATATTTTTTTAATATGTTGGCCATTAGGATATTCATAATCATACCTTGACTTACGAGTGCTCAACTTACAAGTTTTCTAAGTTACGGGCCTTCGCTCGGTCAGTAATTTGCTTTGAGTTACAAGCGAGCTTCAAATATGCCTCCACTCACAGGAGATACTAAGGAAATATCAAAAACCTCAATAATAACCAGTGTGTAACAGCCTTTGAATTTTGATACCACTGGTAGTGTCATCCTGCCAGAATGTTCTATAACGTATGCCCTAGGTAAAGAGAAACAATTCTGGAATGTGTAATACGTGTTCGGCAGGCCGGCTGGTTGGGTGGCTAGCTGGCTGGCTGATTTGCTTTGGTTGTCTCTATCTCTGTCTCTGTCTCACAGGTACACATAAATACAGTTATACATAGTGTAAATTACCTAGGATATCCCAAAAAATTCAGACAAAGTGCTATACTATGCTTGTAGATATAAGGCACAATAAGCATGACTGGCAAGTAATACACATTTTCATTTGTTCAGAAATCAGAGGTGACGACTCTGCATCGTGTGTAATACCGGTTGGGTCATGAGCAGCTCTCTCTCTGAGACAGAGAGACAAGTAGAGAGACAGGAAGACAGATAAGCAGAGACAGAGATAAACATAGACAGAGCTAGACAGGCAGACAAATAGACAGAAACAGACAGACACAGACAGACATGTTTATGTGTAACAGTGAAAAATAAAGCCAAGGAAGTGCACAATCATCAACTGTCACTCCACTGCTGCACTGTCAGCAGTGGAGTGACACTCATCTTACACCGTGCTTCAAGGAGTTTCATATATACTCCAGCATTTCTAAAACATTGCTGGAACCTGGCAAAAAAGGCAAAAATCATTTATTTATAAATACATTTTTCTTATTTAAAAGCCTGTAACAAAAAAATTTGGATGGATTTTTGGGAGCTGGAATGGATTAATGGCATTTAAATTAATTTCAGTGAGGAAAATTGATTTGATATACTAGCAAATTGAGTTATGAGCTCAGTCATGGAACGAATTAAACTCGCAAGTCAAGGTACGACTGTATCTTACTTTGTCTTTCTTCCTAATTAGTTTGCACTACTAACTATTTCATATCATATTTGAAGTTTTTTTGAAGCTTAACCACCTATTTTTTAAGGGTAAATACAATATAGCATATTGTAATTTTGGTCTAAAATGTTAAATTTTCTTATCATGGTAACACACACACATCTTGGTCCATCACAGTCATCATTACTGAACATTGATTCCCTCCATCATCATTCATTCAATAGCTGCCTTGTCAGAAGTGCTGAAACTTCACAACACAGGTGCCCTTCCAAACTGCAAATATAATGTGGATTAAATGGATTAAATAGTGACAAGATGAGTACATTCATAGTTGTGGTTGGAGCTATTAATTAGTTAAGTAATAACAAGGAGGGACTTTGTGTACTTGATCATTATTGATTCTTTACTGATGATGCACACTACATGACTTACACTCATTTCTCACCATCATTTACCCACAGGGTATTGGAAACCAGGAATCACTGAAGCTGCTTGTTAGTAGTTAACAAACCCAGCTAGATGAGTACCCTGCCTGACTCCTTGCTTGTCTTTCCTCTTTTTTTTTTTTTTTTTCTCTTGGACACAAATGCTTCTTACCTTTTTTAATTTTTACATTATTAAAAGTGCTTACTACTTGAGTATTATTTTTGTTATGGTAATTACAGTATAACACTAACATTTTCTGCTGTATAAGACTGGCTTTGAGTCTATCTTTTTCCGAGGAAGAGGGCCCAGTAGTTATTCTCCACATTTTGTTAGTGTAACATAAATTTTTAGAACGAAGCCTAAAAAAATTACAAAAGTCAAGTATTGTGGTGGTTACTGTTGCTAAGGGGTTAGGATGTCCTTTTGATACCTTTGACATACCTTTAAAGGGCTTTGATAGTTTTCCTACGTCTGCTGTCTGGCCCTGGCCTAGTTTGCCTTATCAACCTGGCAGACAGCATCTGCTGGCCCACATACCTTCACAGACTGGTGGATCCCTTTGACATCCTCTGCACTTGTTCTTGCATGTTTGTGATAAAATGTTAAATTCACATATAGACAGCATTGGAATTGTGGACCATAGTCCACAATTAGTCACAGCTGGCCACTATGACAAGTGGCCATGAGGAAGGTCTATTTGTGGGCTAGGATATCATGGCACTCTGGGAGAGGAAGAGAGAGAGAGAATATAGTCAGGTGAGATCCACTATAATGGACTAAGAATTTGTAGACCATGAACCAAGCAGAGTGGATCTAGAGATACAAGCAGAAAGTGCTTCACTGTACGTGGCTGGTGGGGACACCACCCATCAGAAGGGCTGTTGACTACCCAGTGATGGTGATGGGTTGCAAATTATTTCACTGTCCACACCCCTGAAATTAATATGGGTCTCGTTGTCTACACTTAAAAAAAATAATTTCTTAAATGGTAAAGAAACTTTTTCTGAAGTTAATGACATCAAATGTAGGAAATATGATGGGAAACTTACATAAGTACACAGATGCAAAGTTGATGGTCTGGGTGTAGTATATGCATTGGCAATTTTACCAACTTTGAGTCTTATTTTAAGCCAATTCCATTGCCCCATTTGACCAAATTCTTAGCTATTTCACTAGCATGCTTCCTATCTATTGAGCACAAACAACTGCTCATTCAACTATTCTCACTACCCTGTAAAGTGCATAGAAGTCAGTAATTTGGCTAATTTTACACAAATTTAGAATAGTCCAAAATGAACCATGTAAACATTCCTGGCACTAAAACATTTCCTCTGTTCATTTATTATGTACCCAGGCCTCTTTTATATTACACTTTCCTTCCATTTTGAATTCTTAATCACACAAAAATAGAAGATTTTCTCTTTTCTTTGGATAATATAAACAGGAATGATTGGTCGTGGTTTATGGTGTCCCATTAATTGAATCATGCCTATTAAAAACCCATAAAACAGACTAGGGGAGGTGTAAGAGGGGCCTTATCCATCCTCAGGAATATCAGCAAAAATCAAATATTTCTGCTACTTTGAGCTCAATTTCAAGCTACTTCCAGTCCTGAAACCAATCAAATTCATCTCTATTTCAGTAGTACGTCTTCCATTCTATCAAATAATACCAAGGAACAATAAAAAACACAAAAAACATCCAAGAAAACATCTTAATCGCATTTTTAAACGTCTACACACGATTGTGGTCTTATTTTCCCCGTTATGCACTGTGTAGGGCATTTTTTTTTTTTTTTTTTTTTTTTTTTTACTGTGCACACTCGCCACACACACATTCTTCTCTAGTTAAAATTTACCACTCACAGTGTATCTGAGTGAGCTGAGCTCATGATGTAGGACTACATGAGGGACCCTGACCCCAATGACATATGTAGTTCTATGTGATGGCCACCGAAAGGATTAAGCATTAATACCACTTTGAGTTGAAAAAACAACTGTTTTTGGTACTAAACAAAGAAGAGCCCACTAGACCTATACTAAGTATCTTTATATAAAAAATGACTGCACTTCATAGTTACAGCCAGGGAAAAATATAATACATATAACAATTTATGGGCTTGGGGTAATGTAATTAGTAGATTATAAGAACATGGTCCCTGGGGTAATATAATTAATAAATTTCAAGAGCATGGCTCCTGGGGTAATATAATTAATAGATTATAAGAACTAAGGGAGGAGGAAGTTCGGGTGAGATATAAGCGACTATTGGCAGAAAGGTGGGCTAGTGCAAAGATGAGTAGTGGGGGGGTTGAAGAGGGTTGGAATAGTTTTAAAAATGCAGTATTAGAATGTGGGGCAGAAGTTTGTGGTTATAGGAGGGTGGGGGCAGGAGGAAAGAGGAGTGATTGGTGGAATGATGAAGTAAAGGGTGTGATAAAAGAGAAAAAGGTAGCTTATGAGAGGCTTTTACAAAGCAGAAGTGTTATAAAAAGAGCAGAGTATATGGAGAGTAAAAGAAAGGTGAAGAGAGTGGTGAGAGAGTGCAAAAGGAGAGCAGATGAAAGAGTGGGAGAGGCACTGTCAAGAAATTTTAATGAAAATAAGACAAAATTTTGGAGTGAGTTAAACAAGTTAAGAAAGCCTAGGGAAAGTATGGATTTGTCAGTTAAAAACAGAGTAGGGGAGTTAGATGAGGAGAGGGAGGTATTAGGTAGATGGCGAGAATATTTTGAGGAGCTTTTAAATGTTGAGGAAGAAAGGGAGGCGGTAATTTCATGCACTGGCCAGAGAGGTATACCATCTTTTAGGAGTGAAGAAGAGCAGAATGTAAGTGTGGTGGAGGTACGTGAGGCATTACGTAGAATGAAAGGGGGTAAAGCAGCTGGAACTGATGGGATCATGACAGAAATGTTAAAAGCAGGGGGGGATATAGTGTTGGAGTGGTTGGTACTTTTGTTTAATAAATGTATGAAAGAGGGGAAGGTACCTAGGGATTGGCGGAGAGCATGTATAGTCCCTTTATATAAAGGGAAAGGGGACAAAAGAGATTGTAAAAATTATAGAGGAATAAGTTTACTGAGTATACCAGGAAAAGTATACGGTAGGGTTATAATTGAAAGAATTAGAGGTAAGACAGAATGTAGGATTGTGGATGAGCAGGGAGGCTTCAGAGTGGGTAGGGGATATGTAGATCAAGTGTTTACATTGAAGCATATATGTGAACAGTATTTAGATAAAGGTAGGGAAGTTTTTATTGCATTTATGGATTTAGAAAAGGCATATGATAGAGTGGATAGAGGAGCAATGTGGCAGATGTTGCAAGTATATGGAATAGGTGGTAAGTTACTAAATGCTGTTAAGAGTTTTTAAGAGGATAGTGAGGCTCAGGTTAGGGAGTTTAGAAGAGAGGGAGAATACTTCCCAGTAAAAGTAGGTCTTAGACAGGGATGTGTAATGTCACCATGGTTGTTTAATATATTTATAGATGGGGTTGTAAAAGAAGTAAATGCTAGGGTGTTCGGGAGAGGGGTGGGATTAAATTATGGGGAATCAAATTCAAAATGGGAATTGACACAGTTACTTTTTGCTGATGATACTGTGCTTATGGGAGATTCTAAAGAAAAATTGCAAATGTTAGTGGATGAGTTTGGGAATGTGTGTAAAGGTAGAAAGTTGAAAGTGAACATAGAAAAGAGTAAGGTGATGAGGGTATCAAATGATTTAGATAAAGAAATATTGGATATCAAATTGGGGAGGAGGAGTATGGAAGAAGTGAATGTTTTCAGATACTTGAGAGTTGACGTGTCGGCGGATGGATTTATGAAGGAAGAGGTTAATCATAGAATTGATGAGGGAAAAAAGGTGAGTGGTGCGTTGAGGTATATGTGGAGTCAAAAAACTTTATATATGGAGGCAAAGAAGGGAATGTATGAAAGTATTGTAGCACCAACACTCTTATATGGATGTGAAGCTTGGGTGGTAAATGCAGCAGCAAGGAGACGGTTGGAGGCAGTGGAGATGTCCTGTCTAAGGGCAATGTGTGGTGTAAATATTATGCAGAAAATTCGGTGTGTGGAAATTAGGAGAAGGTGTGGAGTTAATAAAAGCATTAGTCAGAGGGCAGAAGAGGGGTTGTTGAGGTAGTTTGGTCATTTAGAGAGAAAGGATCAAAGTAGAATGACATGGAAAGCATATAAATCTATAGGGGAAGGAAGGAGGGGTACGGGTCGTCCTCGAAAGGGTTGGAGAGAGGGGGTAAAGGAGGTTTTGTGGGTGAGGGGCTTGGACTTCCAGCAAGCGTGCATGAGCGTGTTAGATGAGAGTGAATGGAGACGAATGATACTTGGGACCTGACGATCTGTTGGAGTGTGAGCAGGGTAATATTTAGTGAAGGGATTCAGGGAAACCGGTTATTTTCATATAGTCGGACTTGAGTCCTGGAAATGGGAAGTACAATGCCTGCACTTTAAAGGAGGGATAATGGCAGTTTGGAGGGATATGTTGTGTATCTTTATATGTATATACTTCTAAACTGTTGTATTCTGAGCACCTCTGCAAAAACAGTGATAATGTGTGAGTGTGGTGAAAGTGTTGAATGATGATGAAAGTATTTTCTTTTTGGGGATTTTCTTTCTTTTTTGGGTCACCCTGCCTCGGTGGGAGATGGCCGACTTGTTGAAAAAAAAAAAAAGAACATGGACTCTGGGGGTAATCATATAGAAACATGGTAGTCAAGAGATGTAATAGTATTACTATCACAACTTTAAGGAAACTGTTAGGCTGGATAACAAGAATTTTCAAAATACTTTGATGCCTAGTCAGTAATCATGCTGTACTTTTTAAAGCACATGTACTCTGTAAATTAGAATATGTAACTAGATTAATGCTGTAAACTAGTGGTTCCTTTTAATGCAAGCAAAATTAAATATGGGAGCCTTTTACATATCTTGAATGAATGGAAATATATTTCAGTAAGAGGCTAGCAGATGTTTAGTGGTAGTGTATATAACACACACATTTTTACACTAAGAGAGAGACACTAGAAACTAGTACAGTAAATTGCTCATTAAATGAACTATTGAGAGGTAGTAAGTGGCCAATTATGGTATTTGTGGTGGATAGCAATAGATTGTTTTCCTGTGATTCTCAGTTTTGTAGGACTTTGTCCATTGGTTACGAATCAGTTGATCCAGCAGATTTTGTCCTGTATTTCCAAAGTCCATTATATTGAAAGTTTACTGTGATATCACTTACAGAAAAGTTTATTCAGATATTTCTGTATATTCATTGGCTAAGTGGTGAGTGCACTGCATAAAATATCAGAAAAACTAACATCAGATCTCATTTCTTCCTAGTTGATTGTTTTTGTTGTGTATTGCCTCTGCTCTACCATGGTTTCCTCATGAACTCTCTCATCCTTCCACTCCAACATCTTAATGCTCACCTATACACATTTACATTTCTCTAATTTATGTGTAGGCAAATTCTACCTGATTGACATGTCTTATAAATAAATAAATAATTTATTTCTTTGCAAAGGTTACTGTGTGTGTTTACGTATCATAATATGATTGGAGCAAAGAAAGCCACTATCATGCCGAGGCATTTCGGGCAGACTTAACCTAATACTTATTGACTACTTAAGTTTAGACAGATGAAAAGTAGTAGATTACAAATAGTCAATATTTCACTCTGTTATTAGTATGAGGTAGTACAATTTATGATACAATCATAAATTTTTAAGTTCGTAATTAAGTTATTTTACAGTGGTAAAATACAAATATTCTATATTTCACTCTATTATTAATGTGTAAGGTATTACAATTTATGATACAATCAATTTGTGATCAAATCAGTCATACATTTTTAGTTTGTAATTAAGTTCATTTACCCTGTAACAAATGTTGGTACAACAGAAAAATGTAATTAACATAAAGGTGGAATCATTGGACATGCTGAGTTGTGATCTTTGAATTAATTTTAATGAAATACTGATCATTTTCAGGGTTTCCTTCCATACGAACAGCGTGTCTTCCCATTAAATGATACAGAATATATGATTATGACAAAGGAGACAGATGACTGTGATATTGGCCCCCTAAGCCCACCCAGGGATTCCTCCACTCTTGAAACCAACAATATTGATGAGGTTTGTTAGTTTTTTCTTTCCTCACATCTTGCCTATATTAACAGTTTTTCTTTTTTGCCAGTTATTGTGTATATTTACAAATGACATACACACTGTATCTTAAAGATATTCCCCCACTACACAGACATGCAGCACCAGTTTGGAACCCACACCTGGTCAAGCATGTCAAGAAATTAGAGAAAGTGCAAAGGTTTGCAACAGTACTAGTTCCAGAGCTAAGGGGAATGTCCTATGAAGAAAGGTTAAGGGAAATTGGGCTGACGACACTGAAGGACAATAGGGTTAGGGAAGACATGATAATAACATACAAAATACTGTGAGGAGTTGATAAGGTGGACAGACAGGATGTTACAGAGATGCAACACAGAAACTAGGTGTCACGATTGGAAATTGAAGACTCAGACGAGTCAAAAGAATGTTAGGAAGTATTTCTTTAGTCATAGAGTTGTTAGGAAGTGGAATAGTCTGGCAAGTGACATAGTGGAGGCAGGAACCATACATAGTTTTAAGATGAGGTTTGATAAAGCTCATGGAGCACAGAGAGAGGGAGAGAGGACCTAGTAGCAATCAATGAAGAGGCAGAGCCAGGAGCTATGACTCAACCCCTGCAACCACAGATAGGTGAGCCACACATGCGCACGTACACACACATGCATGCACTCAGATGAATCAAAGGGATTTTAGGAAGTATTTCTTCAGTCATAGAGTTGTCAGGCCGTGGAATAGCCTAGAAAGTGATGTAGTGGAGGCGGGAACCATACATAGTTTTAAGGCGAGGTATGATAAAGCTCATGGGGCAGGGAGAGAGAGGACCTAGTAGCAATCAGCGAAGAAGCGGGGGCCAGGAGCTATGACTCAACCCCTGCAACCACAAATAGGTGAGTACACACAAGAGAGGGGGGGACACGGACGGATGAGACATCACATATAGTTTATATCTTAACCCTTTCCTCCTCCAGATCCCTGATCTGAAAATTGCTCTCAATGGCCAAGAATACCCCCCCCCCCCCCAATTTGTGAAATGATGGAGAATCTTTTTCCGAAGGTAATGAAACCGAAAGTATGAAATTTGATGGAAAACTTATGGAATTACACTCTTGCAAAGTTAGCAGTCTCGACAATATTTACACATCAGCAATTTTGCCCAATTTGAGTGCTATTTTTAGCCAATTCCATTGTTTCAGTCAACCAAACTCCTACGTATTTTGCTAGTATTGCTTCTATCTATTAACCGAGTACAAGAAACTGCCCATTTGCCTATTTTAGCTACCAAATAAAGTGATTGGAAATAAGTAATTTGGCCATTTTTCCCACAAAATTAAAAAACTGCCAGTTTAAAAATAGGATCCAGAAAAAATAATGTTGACATTCCTGAAACTAAAAAACATTTCCTCTGTTCATTGGTTACATTCCCAGGCCTCTTCTGTGTTATGCTTCCTTTCCATTTTGAATTTTTATTCACACAATAAATAGAAGATTTACTGCTATTGAGATCACTGCATTATTGTAATAATTGTATAAATAATGTCAGTGCTATCCTGAACATGTATTAGACCAGCCAGTTAGATGCGTATTGGACAAGTGACGTAATTTGTGTACTCTGGAATATTGGATAAAATAGAACATTTCCACTACTTTGAGCTTAATTTCAAGCTGTTTTCAGTCCTGAAACCAATCAAGATCACCTCTATTTCTGTAATATATCTTCCATTCTATCAGACGAGACCAAAAAACCGAGAATACAACCATAAAAATCACGTGAAAGCACATTGCAAAGTCGCCTTTTAAACCAAAAACATGGTCGCATTTTTTTCTTATTATGCAATGCATGCTGCAGGATTTTTTATGTGATGCATACTTGCTGCATAAACATTCATTCTCTGCATTCTCTCACATCTAGGCCCAAATTTACTGCTCACAGCTTATCTGAATGAGCTGAGCTCATGGCATAGTACTACAGCACTGACAGTGATCTCAAACCCATAGTACTATGGCATGGGCAATGAAAAGGTTAAGGGTGAATTTCAAAATAATGTTTGATTTCCATTGTCCCTGTGAAATGTTTAAATTATGTGTAGTAACTGTGAGAGCAGATTCTATGAATTTTTGTTTGTAGTTGCAGTGTGATTTGTGCTTGATGGTGGCAGTTTCCCAATGAATACATCAATATACAAACATTAATACATTCTTGCCATGTTTCTTAATTGTCAGTGTTATACAGCCTCTCCTCACTTAGCAACATACTCGTTTACCGACAACTCGGACTTACAACGGGCTCTCTGACCAGTATGCATACCTAAATAATGTATATTAGAGCTGATTTCCTCTACTCTGTTTATTACAATATGCAGTACACTACTGTATAAACATTTACATATATACTAAAGATGTTATAGATGGTGCAAAGGTGATGTTAAAACAATATCAAAGATGGTTGAAACAAACCCACTACCTTTATAGTATGCTCCTTGCTTAGTGACGAATTTGTTTACTGACGTGGTCTTAGGAACGGAACTCCGTTGTTGAGTGAGGGGAGGCTGTACTTAATATTTATGTAATGATTACTTCTTGCAGAGTGGTCGTAGTTCCCCTATGAGTGAAGTAACAGATTCAGCACCAGAGGATGATGGGAGATATGATGATACAACAGCTACACCTAAATGGACCATCTCCGGGCTTAAGGATGCTACTGGCCAGTGTGTATTACAAATACACCGTAACTGACGGTGGCAAACCTCGGATAAATCGGACTCTAGAAATTAAATTATAAAATGTACAAAATTTAATGAGCCAAATTTGGTTAAAGAGCCTGTAACCAAAGATTCAGAAGTGGGCTTCATAGATGCTGTATTGGATATTTGATTAAACCAGATTTTTAAGTAAAGAAGTGTTTTAACTTCAAGCCTCGGGTCAAAATCCTTGAGAAGAAAACTGGGCTTTAATATTCAATATGGCTATAGTGAGAACTTAACAAGCTTGTAACAGCTTTTATTTTTGGTATCATTTTATTAAATTATACTGGTTTAATTGTGGCCTTTATTAGGCTCAGTAAAATATAGTTAGGCATGCAGTGTGAACCAAAATTATCAAAAGGTCAATTAATCTTATAACGGGTGTCAAGGGCTTCGGATGGAGCCGAGAAGACAAATTCCTCTCGTTTTTTGAGGGGCAGTTATCATTCTGTTTTCAATGAAAGCTTTGTTATTTAGTTTCTTAGTAACAAGGATTTATACCAAAAACAAAAAATATCTTGGTAACAATGACTAAGTCATGTTTATAATATGTGGTACAGATATTTTCCAGTCTATTTAATTATGATAGCATATCAGTGCTCTTGTGTGAGTGTAGGCAGAGAGATTGACGTGCAACATGTAGGAGTGTAATGATGCTTGGACAAAGTCAAAATTTTTTTTAAACATGGATTACACGATTGAAAGCCTCGAACAAGTAGATGACCATTTTATTGATGAGTGTTATAGCATGTAGTAGAAGAGAATAGTCTATTGCCTTTATACTGGTAGGAATAAGTTAGGTAGTTTAGGTTATCCAGGTGTAACTGATGTGAATGATGTGAGCTTTGAAAATTCTGGGAAAGTTTAGAGAGAACCAATAGGAGTGGGTAGCTTTCAAACTTTTATTGGAAAACATTATATTTAAGAAATTTGGAATAGGAGAGCAGTAACACAGGAGTTATTAAAATACACATCAATTTGGTATAATGTAGAATGTATAAATTTTAGCTGTGAACAGTTTTATCTTACAAAGGTTAAGTGTACATTAGGTGACAAGAATCAAGCATGTGCAAGTGCAGTGGTGATTGTTAAATACATTCAAGATTTTATTTACATTATAGTTGATATTTAATACGATGCCAAAGTGTTCAAAGTGATTTCAAAATCTTTAATTTACTACTAAATTTCCTGTACAGCCCACTACCATATACAGAAATCATTTAGATTTATTAAAATTTTATATATACATATATTCTTAAAGGAGGAAGCATATAATTTGTCATGGCTACCTAACTGGGGTATGTTTTTGTTGCAAGAACTTGCTGGGAATAGTGTTTACAGTATAGTAGCAGCAGTAACAGTCAGGTGCTTCTAATTATATGGGTTGGCTTGAACTTGTTTGATAACTACCAGTGTTAACACTATGATATAGTATTTTCTACACCAAAAGCAGTTTTATTCAATGCACTGTGGGTCATTTGTTATCACGGCCCTGTGCTTTTATGGACCCAATGCTTAAGTCATTGCTGCAGTTTGTTACTGAAGTTGGAATACAGGGAACTGAACTTCTAAGCAAATCATTTGCTTAGCTGACCATTCTAATGTATTTCTTGATATTTAGTATTTTATGGAAAAGAAGTGAGTATGCATCCTTGATCTGCAGCCATTACTCATTAGGTATTGCAACAACTAATAGGACTTGAGAAAGAGAGGACTACCCGTTTGTAGAAGTACATGGCCTCGAGTAAAACTCCTGCGGTCCTCTAACTTGCTGTGCTTCTCACCTAAAATGGTTACACAGCTAAATATACGCTTATGTAATTGTGTCATGGACTCTCCTAATAGACCATTTTACTTATTCATTTCCACAAAGGAAGTGACGAGTGTTCAACTTTATTCATTAGTGTTTCCCTTCAATTGCTTTCCTTGATGTATATGAACTCTGTACCAGTTTTTCTCTTTTAGTCTAGAGGACTAATAAAAGTTTTCTTATTGTTTGCTCTGTTCAAAAAAAAATGTTGCTCCCTTGGGGGCCTTGTAATAAAGTATTTGTAAAATATCGATAGTGATTGACATATTTGTACCTTGTTACCATTGCCCATCTGAGCTGAAATAAACGTATATTTGGTTTCACAAATTACTACAAAGAAATTCCTTCATTAAAACAAATAGTTTTTTATTTGTTTATAATTCAAGTCCTTATGATAGGATGGGTACAATGGCATATTTGTAAATAATGTATAGAATCCAATTTGAACACAAGTATTTATATTGTTCAATGTTTCATTGAATTTAATACTTGTTGCCTGATTGAAAAAAGCACTGTCCTAAGTCATTCAAAAGAAAAGAAAAAATACAAACTGATTATTGTGTGTTTTCTTTTTCCACATATTGGAAAGTGACCCTTATGCAAGTGGAAAGTTTCCTGGGGGAATGGGGTGAATAAAGAAATGGCAGGCCATCAATATGGATGTTTTCCTTGACACAGGTGTGAGCCAGAAGAAGCAGTCTACACATTTTCTAAATCAAGTTGTTTGGTAAGCGTGATTTAGAAAAATAAATTGTGCATGTATATTAATCAAGGGTATTTCTGAAGGGCTATCTTCAAGTGGGGGCTCCTTGGTGCAAAGAGGCTCTTGGTCTGAGGAATTAGACCTTTTGGTCTCCTTCCTCAGACCGAACCTAATTACCCCCCAATCCCCCCCTTCCCTATCCCATCCTCTCTTTCCTCCCCTATTCCCTTCCTATTTTCATCCTTTGGGATTCTTCCTATAGGCACTCTAGTTCCTAGGTAGGGGGAAGGGTACCAGGGTCCATCCCATTCTGTTGAGGTCCTTGGCGGCAGTGTAGTTTGCTGTGGAATTTTGATCACCTGGAAGTGTCCCAATCCCTCTCCGGTCTCCTTGGAGTGGCTTTGGGTGTCTTTCAGGTGATGGGTGTATCTCTGGAGGCTGCCTGTCGGATTCCGGGGGAGGGGGGGAAGGCCAATGGAAGCATGTTTTGTGGTGGGTGTCCGGCCGCCCGCTATTTTGTCCACTGAGGTGGCTCGGCAGATGTGAAGTCGCTATCCCAGATTGCTGGTTTACTGGCATGAAGGGTAGGGTATGGCACGGGTTCCATGCCACATCTGCACTACTTAAATTTGGGTCCTCTTGGGCGCAGAGGGGATTTACGGCCCTTTTTTGCCTCCTAGGAGCTATTCCTCCACATTCTCTCCCTTTTTTTTCTACAAAACATCAAGAAAGAAGTGACATAACCATGGAGTCCCAAATCCATGAACCTGCTCCCCCAGGCCCCTTACTGATACTGCACCCTGTTTTGATCCTACCTCATTCTTTGACCACTCTTTGGATATTCCTACTGCCCCTGTACCTCTTGCTGGTGCTGTTTTGTCACTCGCTTCAGGTACCGGGATTTCGACTGATTCCTTTTGATTATAATAATTGATGTTTTCCTTTGATACGCTGCCCCCGGCTCTTTTTTGACTATGTTTTGGGTTTTCCCTTATGGTGGGGCATTTTTTTGGATCGCCTACCCACCATGTGGGACCTACTTGGTCCCCCACCTAAATACCCAGGCCCAATTCCTGATGTACTTCTTCACTTCCTTTCATTCTTCTCGAAAACGACTGGCACATCATCCCACCCTTTACAGTTAGCTTCAAAAACACAGGAACTATTTTTTTCCCTAACGCTATTCCTCTGCTCCCTATTTTTTCCGACCATAGCATTGGCAAGGCCCCCTACCCATTTTGGGTTTTGAGAATACCCTTTCCATGCTCTAAGAGTGGAACACACATCACGTCCAGAATACTTCCAGGCTCAGTTCTTTCTTCCCTAAAACTTTTGGTACTTTCCTGAAATTTTTGAAAACATCTTTCCTCAATTCTTTTTAGTGGAACTTCATTCTGCCCCATACCTTGCCCAACAATTTCCAGAATGTGGTGATGACTTTCTGGAACAGCTAGAACCCAAGACCCCCCCAATCCTAAAAGTAGAACTTAAGTCCCCCTACCTGCGGGCAGAGATGATACCCTTGCAAGTTTGCTTAACTTTTTGACTGCTGGAGTTTCCCTTCCTCTGTATATATGGGGGACCCCCCTTAAAGACAAAGGTGATCCCTACACCGAGCATGTAGAAAGTGGGGGCATTTGGCCCACCATAAAAATTGCGGTCCGTGGCCGAATGCCCAGTCTGTGGTGCTGACAATCTGCCAATAGCTTTTAGTCTCCTCCCTCTTGCCTTAATTGTCACGGGGTTCCCCCATCTTCTCTGCCGCTCCCCAAGTTTATTTAATGAGCATAAAAACCGTTGTCTCAAGAGGCAGGGGGGCCTCCCAATGCTATGGCAGTCTCTCACCTACGTCCCCAAAGGGGAAAACTTCCCTGTACATGAAACCTAAAAATATCAAAACTTTCTTTCGGTCCAAAAGTTGTTCGGTGCCTTTACCGAATAATTTTTTTCCCCTCAGGAATAATGTAAATTAGATTAGCCCTTTTCGCCCCTAAAAATCCCACTTAAAAAAGCACTTACAAAAATACACTTACAAAATTTTGGTTGTTTTTGGAGCAGTTCGATTTTTGGGTTCCACTGTATTTTTTTATTCTCGAGTTATTAAACACCCCCCCCTCGGGGATCCCAACTTCTGCAGCCCCCGGGGTACCTGCAATTTTTCTTTTGCTTTTCTGGATGGGGCCCCTCCTGGGCCCTCATTCTGTTCTCTCTCTTCATTTTCTCCGCTCGCAAGTTTTGTGTCTACAAGACTTCATGCCCCACCTACCCCCATTGCTATTTCCCCTTTCTCTGAAATCTAAAACATTCCCTTTGTTAAAATCCCCTTTTAAAACCCCCCCTTCCCATCTGCATCCTGCACATTTTGCCCCCCATCCTGTATCCGGTTCTTCACCTCTTAACTGGCTCTGTTACAATGGGAGGCTCATCCCCCTCATGTACGTACCTTCTTACCCGTCCCCTCCCAAGCTTCTTCCTGTTCCTCTCCCTTTTTCCCCCTCCCCCCCTATTTTGGGTACAGCCATTTACCCCCAACTTACTCACCCTCCTCCTTCCTTCCCAAATTGTACCAAACAACGTTTGCCTCTAAACCTTGAAAACAAAACTCAAAATTTATAATTGGGGCTGATCTTGATGGCCTGACCACTTTCTTCCTCCTTCACTCTTCCCATCTGCACAACTTTTTTCTTCACAGATCCAATCCTTGCTGCTTAAAATTTTTTCCGCTGCCTTTCCACTTGGACTTTTCAAAACCCACTAGTCCTAGATACTCTCCTTCAGTTTTTTTTGTATCTTTCTCTTGGCAAATCGGGCTTATTTCATGGAATATCTGGGGCCTCAGAGGTAACCGGGGGAGTTTCGGGTGTTGTTTTCCCTTTTTCCCGTTTGTGTTTCTTTACTATAACCCAAATTACCTCCGTGTTTTTCCACCCCCACCCGGGGCTATGTTTATTATATTCATTGGATCCTTTATTGAAAGTGACTCTTTACGCACTGGTATTCCTCCCCACACTCTTTGTTCATATTCGCTGAAAACCCTGCAGCCGATCCACTTAAAAGGGGTATACAACTGCTTTGTTTCCTCCTTTTTTGGGGCATTATCTACCCCAGATGTTGCCTTTCGGTTTTTCCCTTCCTGCCACCACTTCTGTTACTTGGAAATTTTTTAATGCCCCCTTTTCCCTCGGGGGGGGTTCACTGTGACTCCTGGGGCATTCAGTTGGAGGCTTTTCTCGTTTCTTCCCCCTCCATTTTTTTAAATAGGGGTGCTCCCCCCCCTTTTTTCCCTGTACTCATTCTCTCTCTTGCATCGATTTTCTGTCTTTTTTTTCATATGTGCTAGATTTAAACCGGTCTGTCCCCCCCGGATTTGCTGACAGCAATCATTTCCAATCATCCTTACTTCCTCATTTTCACCACCACCTCTAGTCCACACTGGAATTTTGCCCCGAAAAATTGGGGGATTTTTACTCGCATGAACTGTTTTTAGTGAGGGTCCTTTTTCATCCCCATTGATGAGCGTTTACAACTTTTTCCGACTCATTTTTACATTCTATATCCCAACCTCGAAGGCATTCTCAGAAAGCACCCTTGGTGGTCTCTTGCTTGTGCTCAGGTATATATTTAAAAAATTGGCTGGAGCGGGTACCTTTACAATAGAACCCAGAAGAGAGAGACCCTTGGGTTTTTAAAAAAGCAGAAGAGAGTAGCCCCTGACGTGTCATCCCTGAAATAAACACACTTGTGGGGGATTATTTTCACTGTCACTTCTGCTTCCTCTATGAGTGCATCGGAAAAAAAGAAGAAACTGAGTGGTAATCTCTCCAACCCGGCTTTTGTTCTTCGGTTGCCGTGTTGATATCGCAAAAACCCCTTGCTGTTGCCACCGAAATTGATAATCATCTGTCTGTATCTCTCAGGGGCTTCATCTATGCCCCTCGTTTCATTCCTCAATCTGCCGGAGAGTTAGAGCCCTTAAACTTTTCTTCTACAGAGAGGAAACTTATACAGTGGACCCCGGGATTCATGGGACGGTATCCCATAAAACCCTATTCGATGCATTTAACAAAAAAAAAGTCTCGGTACGATCGAAAAAAAAAACCGGGATTCGATGCATTCATACAGACGTGTCCCCTGTGGCCTGAATCCCCCTGGTTCCATTTTTTACAACCAGGGAGTGTGCACCATCTAAGGAACATTTGGGCATTCCATATTTCCTGTTTTTGGTGTTGTTTCTGCAAAAAAAGTCGCCATGGGGCCCCCAAAAAGCTTTGTCCAACCCGTGGGGGAAAAAGGGTGAGAATTAGTAGGAAAAAAGAAAAATTTTGAAGGGTTTGGGGCTAACCCTCGAAGCCTTTTTGCCCGTTGTGGGAAACTATTGTGCTACTTCAAAAATTAAGGAAATGGTCACAGTGGGTTGAATGCAAAAACCTTTTTGGATGAAAAATCACCCAAAAACAGCTATTTCAAGCTGTCTGGGGACTATTACAATGACAAGTTGTGGCCCATTTTAGACAAACTTAAAGGAAAAGGAGGGACAGAGTTATGGACAATTGTTGTGCGACAGAGTCCAGGACTCTCAAGTGGGCCAGGGCATTAAAAAAAGAAGGGAATAACCCCGGAAAAGGGACTGCTAATTTAAGTCCCAAGGAAAGGGGATTCCCCCCTTTAAACATAACAACTTTGACACTCCCCCTCCTCCCCTCCCCTCAATTATCACCAGATCTTTATTTAAAGGTAAGTTTATTATTCTTTTTTATGTTTTTTTTTGAATTTTTTCTATTTCATTTAAAATTATATTTCATTGGTAAATTTTTTTTTTTCATACTTTTGGGTTCCCCTTTCACGGATTAAT